GCACGGTGGTTTGAGCGGCGCGGCTCGGGCACGCGCGCTGGCTAGCGGGATCGGGCGGCTGCGCGGACGGCGCAGACGCGACGCGGGCGACGACCACGCGGGCGTGCGCGCGAACGACGCGCGGGGAGCGGCAGCGAGGAAGCGGAAAGGAGGACTCGGCTCGGCGCGGCCAGCTCACGCGCACGCGCGCGGGCAGGGCGCGGGCGGAGCGGAGGGCGCTCGGCGCGACGCTCGCGCACGCGCGCGCGGCGCGCTGGCGGAGCGGAGGGGGAGGAAGAGAGAGAGAGAGAGCGCCGGGAGGGAGGGGGAGGTGGGCCGAGAGAGATTCGGCCCATCGACCCCGGGGGAGGCAAAATAGACTTTTGCGGAGGGATTGATTTGGAAGGATTTGGATTCGGAATTGGACTCGACGATAGATCGGGGATTGAGATCTGAGATGGCACGGACACTAGACAACAAGCAAGGAAACAAATTTCGCAACTAGGGTTTTTAAGAGATAATTTTCCCGCTAGGCGCCACGACGGAACGGGCGCTACATGTTCAGACGCCCGTATACGAAAATTGATTTTGTCATATGTCCTTGAACCATCCTTGGGGAGTGATTTTTGCATATGGGGGCTGTTATGGTCCAACTGTAATCTAGAGGGAGTCTCAATCGGAAAAAAAAATCAATTTTGTAGTAGTGTGGTAAGGGCGGTGACATGCATGGCTGATTGGCTTGGAGCTTGGGAGGTGGAGGTGCTTGGGGATGATTCCTAGAAGCACATCCACCTGAGCTCCTAGCGTGGCATTAGGATGGTGGAACGTCATCAGTCGAGCTCAAGAGGCACGTTGGTTATGCAGGGAGGACAAGGAAGGCAACAGTCGGTTTGAAACCGCTGGAGTAGGATTAACGGTGCGCTAGTGCCTGCACATTAGGGAGGATGGGCGGGGGCTAGTGGAAATGTCCTCCCACCACCGCCACCATAACTGCGGATTGGGGCTATAGTTTTGGGCCCTCAACCTAAAAACTATTTGGTATTGATATTGCTATATATTTGTTGATAAAATTTGTTAAATATAAATATAATATAATTGTAGTATAATTACATTATAACTTATATGTAACTACAGCGTAACTTATATATACCTATCACATAATTTCAAACCGTTATATTTACTTCAAAATTCGTGCGAGTTGGAAAGAAGAAAAATCATAGTATGGACACATGTTAGGAGATTCAGTCTCGTAACCTTCGCTGTTACCGTGGAATTTTTTAAAGCTATATATAAATTGTATTATAGTTACATACAGATTACAATGCAACTATACTATGATTGAATTATATTTAAACCTGACAAATTTTTCGACAGATGTGTATAGCTAGTCCCAACACAACCTGTTTTGGGTCCTGCTACTGGAGATACTGTCATATATAACCGATTGTCCAAAACAACTCCTTTAGTGCAGCATCATTGCTGGATCCCAACTTAAAAGATGGATTGCATCCAAGCGGCTATCTGCCATGTGCAAATGGCACCAGTAGGCCCCCATCGATGATATATGCCCTGATCTTGACTCCATCAACTGCCATGTAGGCAAGCCGTCTGCCATTAATTAACTTCTGCATGCATGGACAATTTTGGAGAACAGGCGATAAAGCTCGTAGTTAGGTTTCGTATTGAAACTGCCTCCAATTAAGCTGAAATAAAGATGTGGGGCATGTTTAGACTAGTTCCCTAACTATCTAATTAACCTATATATGGTTCTTTGCATGCTTGCACTTGATTGTGAATTGACCAGTAAATCTACTTTGTGTTGTTATTACCTTTAGTAATGAGTTCTCTATGGGATCTGGACTCAGATCATGGGGAGGTTGATGACATGACTTTTTGTTTCCATCCCACATTGACAAATTGTTCTTCTCCTAGCCATAGAGAACATTCCTTTTGCTCCAATCATAGTGGTTAGTTTGCACAGAAGTGATAGGCAAGCTCAAAACACCACTCATATAACTATACACATCTAGCAACACTGATAATCATGACAATTTTGTCAACACACTAGAATTGAATATGGATTACTTGCAATGAGCCCCTCTCCAAAAAGTGATAGACTTCCATATGCTTTCTAGGAGTTCACTTCAATTAGTTTAATTAATTAACCAGTGCATTCCTTTAATTGGACCATCACATAAGCTTCCTCACACTCTTGCTGAAAGCTTGGCATTTTACTTGAGACCAGAGCTATATAGATATGTGGTTGGTGGTTGTGATATGGGGAGTGGTGGCTCCCCACACCACATTACCCCAGCCTCAACCTTAGCCGTGTGACATCTTTCTCCACTATCTATAGCTTGAGCTTTTCTTTTGGTGAGCAGATGATCACTTTGCAAGTCTAACTTTTAGTTTCCTCTCCTCTCTGGCCTCTCTTCCCCTAAGGGCCTGTTTAGATCCCCTGGCAAAATCTTTCACCCTGTCACATCGAATGTTTGGACATATGCATAGAGTATTAAATATAAACGAAAAAACTAATTACACAGATTGTGTGTAAATTGCGAGGCGAATCTTTTAAGCCTAATTGCTTTATGATTTGACTATGTGGTGTTACAGTAAACATTTACTAATGGCGGATTAATTAGACCTAATAAATTCATCCCGCAGTTTACATGCGGAATCTATAATTTGTTTTGTTATTAGTCTATGGTTAATACTTTAAATGTGTGTCTGATGTGACACTCCAAAACTTTACGCCATGGATCTAAACACCCCTAAAATTTGATCTCTTTCCGCTCATCGTTAACCACCGTCTCACGCCAATTAATTCTTTCCCCTCAATTATTAATCCGGAGGTCCTAGTTATCTACAACAATACTCACCTGTCGCTATGAGCTTGCACTTTAATTGTTACATATGCTCTCTAGCTTTGGTATCATGTTTAATTTTGCTTCTTCATCAGACATTTCAATATTCATCGTGTGAAAGAAGTGCCCAAATTTTCTTGGTAGAGTGGAAAACAAACACTCTATGTGCAACTGAGATTTTCAATGGTAAGTCATACAAGGTTATAATATTAATTGACATACTTCAGATTTAAATTAATTTTCCTAGTTAAAAGTCTCTATATCTAGTAACAGTAATATACCCCTCCAGCAAGAAAAAAAAAACACCGTAATAGACCTCAAAATCCTCTGGTACAAGAGAGTGAGAAATTAATTATACAAACACCTTTAATTAGGTATACGAAAGACATTCCGTAACCAAAAGGAATGTTTGTGAGAAGGATATCAATCTCACTCTACCATTTGCTTTTTTTTTTTGTTAAACAAATGTTGATGAACTTTTTAGCCACAACCTTTCTTCCTCCCTAATTTAATTCTGTCCTAAATTAATATTACAACAGGCACTCATACCCAACATAATCCTACTTTGGTGGTATATAAAAGAAAGAACGGCAGTATAATATTGTGCCATGTCAGCCCATTCATATGGTGTACTTTTCCTAGATGATAATGCAGCGTGCATGGCATCGCATTCCTACCTTGCAACTATGTACGGTACACCACTGTGGTTGATTAATTAAAAGCTAAAAGCTTTTATATTAATTAGTCTCCTCCTTCAAGTCTCACTAATTGAGGGGTCAATTCGATGTGTCAAAACTTAACCGCCTCTGTATAGCACTACATGATCGACAGCTAGAGACTGTCATTAATTAGTTGACTTGTCAATGTGACTTATCTGCAATATCATGCGCAAGCATGCATGCTAGCTAAGTAATTAACAAAGTCAACCACCACTAAGGAGAAGCTATGCATTTAATTTAGCTAGCTAGTTACTTATATATTTGGATTATCTGAGTCACTTTGTTGATAAGATTGATGAACTGAGAGTGCACTTAGCACATACCACTAACTGGAAAGATAATAATCGGAAAACTGTACTGCAAACAACATGAAAACGTACTTTGCAAGTTCCTAACCTTGTTGGGATGAAACTAAGGTCCCTAGCCATAATTAGGGTTAGGTCGTTGTCTCTGTAGCTGTCTAACCCCCCCACCCCCCCACCTTCCCAAGTCCCATGCCTACAGGTGGCAGCAAAACCTTGAAAACAATAACTAAAAAGAAAAGAAAAGAAAAGGTAACCATCGCTAGTAAAAAGATCTAGATAAATGAAAAGTTCAGGGCCCTTTTGAAACAAAGAAAAAACATAGAAATTCCAAAAGATTTATATCCTATGGGAAATAATCCTATGAAATCCTTTGAAAGAAAGGATTGATTGGTTCATATCAATTTCTTTGAAATTCCTATGGAATGAACTATTGTAGAGGAATTTTGAAGGAACATTAGCACGAAGTCTTACCTTATGTTTTCTTCTTCCCGTGTCTTAAATTCCTACGGTTTTCCTGTGTGACTATCAAGCGGTAGTTTGGAAACTTTCATGTGTTTTCAAATCACGTAGGAATCCAATAAACATGACATTCTATTCCTACGTTTTTCCTATTCCGAGTTTTGACAATCCTATGTTTCAAAGGGGCCCTCAGTTGTGAAAAACCAAAGGTCGGATAGAAACTAAAAACGAGTAAAATATGCCAACAGTCCTTAAATAATGTGTACTTGTCATCAAGATCCATAAGCTTAAATAATGCATCTTTAAATCCTAGACTTACTGAATGTGTCAACACCCGTCCAAAATCCAATGTGACATACGACAAGGACGCTTACGTGATATCACACTAACCCTAAATCAGCTGACAAGTGGGATTCACTTACAAAATTTCTTTTTTATTATTTCCTTGTCCTATTTTTCTTTTTCCTCCTCATCTTTTATTGTTATCTTGTTATTGCTATCTTCATGAATATGGCCATTAGGAGCCCGGCATGAGCATGTACCAGACATGCCATGGTGTTAGGTCAATGCTCTAGATGCACTCCCAATAGCGGTTGTTGGGCATTTCCGACAATTCCAACCGTTTTAACCGTCATTGGGAGGCTATATAAAGGGTTTACCTCACTCTTTCCCTCACACACTCAAGGAATAAGAACAAGAGCTCTCTCTCAAGTTTAGTTAGTGTTCTAGTGCTAATGCTAGTGGAATAGAATTAGAATAGTTTTCATAGTCCTCGAGTCTTCAGGAGAATACAGGTATGACTCTAGTAGTTTCTCTCTCTTTTTGTAAGACTTATAGAATTAATAGAATATTCTTCTTTATTCAGCTTCCATATTTTACGACTTTACTTCATACTTATGCCCATATAATTATGTAGCTAGCTTAACAGAGATACGCATTGGTGTAGGTTTAATGTTCATGTGAATGATTGCCCTATGTCTTGCCGGGAGGTATAGAGTAGTATTTAATAATGTGAGCATGGTGCTTAGATTATTAGATATCATTATTTGGGGTTATATGTTGCGGGACAGTAGAGGTGGACTGCTGATGGTGACAGCTCAGTACGGGTATTCCTCCACGTTAGTATATATATAGTCCTAAGGCACTTTTTTGGTATGAGTAGTCCTCCATATATTTCCGGTTGGATGGCCATGATGGATTGTCGCAAGGAACTCGGCAATCAGGAATACCAGGAGAGCATAGTTAGGGGGTATTGGCTACATGATTATATACTAATGAGTGTAAACTAAAGATACATGTATATTAGAAGTATAGGAATAAATTCTTTTCTTATTCTTTCTTCACCTAGCCTAGACTTTATTTATTGAGAGTATCTTAGTTCTTCTTTCTTCGTGTCATCCTACCCCTTTGAATTAATTAACCATTGCATAGACTCTGATTTATACAAGTAACATATAAATTATTAGCATAGTTCTCTCTTATCAATCTTCCCTTGGGATTAAATAAATACGATACCTTGGAATACTTTCGGGTGAAATACTACAATAGTATATTCATACGCTTGCGGATTATATCTGTAAATCATAATATGCCAAGAATATTTTAGTATCATTGCTGGGAATTATATTTTTAGTAATATCCTTAAGAAATATTAACAGCCATCTTGACTAGTCTCTAACCTCATGCATGTGCTCCTGTCACTACTAGGAAAAGGATTTACCTGCGCGGTGAAAACAGGTTTTCACGTGCCGATGGCGGCCCGCACGCACCCAAGGTCTGCAAAAAAATCATGATTTTTGCGTACGGATAGCGCACCCGCACGCGAAAATCGCATTTTCGCGTGTGGGGTGGTTATGTCGCCCGCACGCGAAAATAAAAATCCAAAAAAAATAAAAATAAAAATAATCGAAACCCTAGCTGCTACCGCCGTTCGTCGTCATCGTAGCCGTCGCCGCCACCACAGCTCGTCTCGTTGTCACCGTCGCCATATCTCGTCGTTGTCACCATCGCGACACGGGGAGAAGCGAAGAGGTGCCTCGCCGCCAGATCCCGGCCACCTCATCGTCGTCGTCATCGTGCAGGGGAGAGCGGGAGAGGGGAGCCGCCGCTGGATCCGGACAGCAGAGGGCGGGAGATGGGCGCCGCCACCGGATCCGAGTGGCGGAGAGGCGCTGCGCCGTGGGGAGAGGCGGAGAGGCGCGTGCCGCCGGATCCTGGCCATCTCGTCGTCGTTGTTGTTGCCGCCGTCGCGCAGGGGAGGGTGGAAGAGGGGCGGTGCCGCCGCATCCGGGGGCGGAGGGCGGGAGAGGGGCACCGCCGCGGAATCCGAGCGGCGGAGAGGCCACTCACGTGCCCACGGGTTCACCAACTTGAGATACTCTTTTTGTTCCCACAAGCCACTAGCCCAGGTCCGCCAGCTGCCTTTAGCCATGGAAGAAGAGATTGAGGAGGGAGAAGAGAAAAAGAAAGAAAAAATGGCTGGCCCTACTTGTCAGCAGCGTTGGGTTGATGAAGGCTTCATGTTAACATTTGTGTCATTCCAAGTCGAACTTTGGAAGCATGAATATATTTCGCATCTTTAGGGGCTTAAGATGCATTTTTCAAGTCTATAGATGTAGATGCATGACACCTATGCACAAGTTTTAGGACCGTCAATGGCTACTTAATAAAAACATAACAATCATATATAAAACTAAATATTATTTAGGAAAAACTAAAGATCAGATGGCTATGATGGGTTCTGGAGGCAATCCAATGGTAGGGTGTTCTTCAGGCCACAGTTAATTAATTAGCTAGGTTATGACTTTTCTTGATAATGGAAAAGCTAGGTTATGGCTAGCTAACCACAAACTAGCAAATCTTGTGATATGAGAAAAGAAGCCTTCTATAGCATGCATATCGTTTAACTAAGACATGTGCATACCTTTGAGCCTTTTACCACTTGTCATATATAGCTAATATTTTTCTATTAAACTTTGTAGGAATTCTTATGTGCTGGCCATCGTCATATATATATCAAGAGATGGAATTAATACCCTCTGTTTATTGTTAGCTCCTTGTTCGTAAGGAAACAAAGTTATTGCACCAATCACTTCTTGCGAAGAATAACATTCTATTCCAACGTTGAATCATTCTTTCACGTCAAGTCATGCACTAACTTTATGAAGAGAAAAATAGCAACTATGTTTGTTTGAAGCTATTATTGTGGTTATTTGTTTAGTTCTATATATTAAAATTATAACACCGGAAAATATTTCATTTCATATGTATGAAGTTAAAAGTTTGGCATAAAAAACACATTGTTGTCCTCAAATTTTGACTTGTTTAAATTGAAATTTTAACTTTGAGAATATAGCCTGATTCCCAAAGACCACACAAAGAGCCATTTGATGCAAGTAATAAAAAAAGGATTAATATGAGAAAATTTAGAAAAGTAAATGTCTAAATGATGTGGATGTGCACATATATTTAATCGACGCATGCAAGTTCCTACACATCAGAGAATGTCAAGTGTGCCTCGTTAATTGCATATGGAAAAGTTAATTTGCTACATATATTCACCTGTACGTACGCACTAATATTACATATATTAGTAATATTTTATCGGTAGCGCTAATCCACGCGCTACAGCACGGAATATTAGTTCGAGCGCCGCACAACCCCCTCTCTGTCCGGTTTTCCCGTTTTTTACCACCTACCTTTCCTTTGCATCCCACCTTTTCTTGGTTCGTTTTTTTTTATTTTATCTCCCCATCTTTCGTGTTTCTTTTTTATCTTTTACATCTCATCTGCGCTTCATCAATAGGCCGGGTAAAATATTAACAATCCAGATTTTTCTGTTTTTCTTCCATGTTTCTTTTTTCTCTTTTACATCTCATCCGTGCTTCATCAATAGGCCCGGTAAAATATTAACCATCCAGATTTTTCTGTTTTTCATTCTTTCTCTGTAGTTATTCTATTTTTGTGTTTTAGTAAAATATTTACCGTCTAGTTTTTCTTTCCGAGTTTTTCATTTTTCTGGTATCTCGCCACATTTAAAAGTAATGAATTTACTCTGTGGAGTTTTTCATTACTCCCAGCCTCCCACATCTGCTCATTCAAAAGTAACAAATTTACTCGCATGAATGCCTTCACATCGTATGACGCCATACCTAGATGGTCGTAAAATAATTACTACCAGCTTACAACGCTAGTAATTGTTTTACCAATATTATAAATATTATTTAGATTTCATGGTCTGTGAGTAAAACAATTACTGCCTTCCTCTCGATATATCCCATAATCTCGTAGCCATCGTGTAGTAATATGTTTACTGATGTGTTCAATACACAGTATTTGAGAAAAAATTGAGATTTCCTGGTCTGCGAGTAAAACAATTACCACATTCCTCTCGATATAGCCATCATCTCATAGCCACCATGTAGTAATATGTTTACTGATGAGTTCAATATACAGTATAAGAGTAAAAACTGATACTAAGAGTATTGTTGATCTGTATCACAAAATAGTCATATGAATGAAAAAATTACAGGCTCAATCACACACAAGCGATAAAATTACTCACATGTAATCAAACTAGAAAAGAAAAAAATGAAGTGGGGGCAAGAGTGGTTGGTTGGGAACAGGAAAAATAGAATATATACCGGAAACAAAGAAGTTGTTTTTATCGAAGTAAATCATTTACTCCGATAACAGTCGGAGCATGATGCGGGACGTGGGGTGGGATCGGAAGCAGGGAAATTGTTTTTATTATCAAAGTAAATTGTTTACTCAAATAAAGGTGGGTGGTAGAGCCGCGCGATAGGAGTAAATCGTTTACTCCGACAACGGTAGGAGTGGGATGATGGGATGTGGGGTGGGGTGGGCCTGGGCCGATGCATGTTTGGCGCTCGGGTTCTAATATTTTATATAGAGATGAAAAACTTGTCAATTATAACTCATCTTCTCAACTCCAACTCCATGATGCTGTGGCTCTAAAAGTGGCTCCTTTGGAACGGGAAGATCATCGGAACATAGTAACATATGAAACACGTAGGAATAGAATGACATGTCCCATTATTTAGAAACTCATAAATCCTCAAAATTGTTTGGCTGAGATCCTTATAATATAGCTCATTCTATAAGATTTCAAAGGAATTTTTAGGAATAAATTCTTTGTTTTAAAGGGCTATCTCAAAAGGAATATATTTTCATACTATTTAAATCATCTACTAGGCACTAGCTAGCATTCCATATTTTTCGTTTGTTCTAAGAGAAAATCCATGAAATGCCATTGACAAGCACTCTAATCCCAGAAATGCCATTGACAAGCGCAACTTCCTCAAAATGCCATTGTACAAGCGCTTTTCTCCCCGAAATGCCATCACAGCCAACTTACCGTTTAGTCCACACCGTTAGAAATTTTTTTTACCAAAATGACTAGATTACCCTCGCTCCAATTTTTACTATCCAGAGGTGGTAAAAGAAAAGAAATTGGGGGAAAAAAGAACCCTAAACCTAACATCGGGCGACGGCGGCGGCGATGCGGTGCCCCCAGGCGGCGGCGCTCGCAGGCGGCAGCGAGGCGGCGCTCTCGGGCGGCGGCGCGGTGGTGCTCGCAGGCGGCGAGGCGATGCTCCCGGGTGGCGGCGCGGCAGCACTCGCAGGCGGCGAGGCGATGCTCCCGGGCGGCGGCGCGGAGGTCCCCCGGCGGCAGCGGCGCGTGGCCCTCAGGCAGCGGCACGGGGTTCCCAGGCGGCGGTGTGGCAGCCCTCGACGGCGATGTGGCGCTCCCAGCGGCGGCGCGTCTGTGAATTTTGAATATGCATCAATTCAAAATATTCACGTATGTGAATTCAAGATATTTAATTTTGAAATATTTTGATTGATATCTAAATAATACACGTCTGTGAATTTAAATAGGCATCAATTCAAAATAATATTGTGTGAGCAAACAATACAAAATGATGTTGTTTGAGCAAAAGGATTACCCAGAGGTAAGATTGTCTTTTCATACCACTTAACGGGGAGGAGTTAACAGCAGTATGGCTGTGATGGCATCTCTGGGAGAAAAACGTTTGTACGATGGTATTTTAAGGAAGTTGCACTTGTCAATGGCATTTTTGGGATTAGAGTGTTTGTCAATGGCATTTTATGGATTTTCTCTTGTTCTAAAGGGTACCCCTCTATAATCCAAATGCCCTCATTTTATGACAAGGACAAGACCCCTTACCATACGGAAGAGTGAACTTTAACTTTTTAAATTGTAAAAAACAATAATTGGTAGTAAGGATGCGCACAAAAAGACTCAAGTTTTTTTTTAATCTTTGGTACCAGGTGCATACAAAAATGAACCCAAAGAGCAAGTTTTACTTGTTGTTTACATAGCCCATTAGTACGTTTCATCGATATTAATCATCAACTTACCATGTCTTTAAAAAGTAGGAATTTTTAAAAGAACAAATTGGATTAGAGTTCCTCTTTTTGCATGACCATTAACAATTTGAAGGAAAGCTGTGGAGAGAAGAGTATATGCCTTCCGTAAGATTCATGAACATCAATAATAGGTTCAAGCTTCTAGTGTGGGTGAGGTGTACATTATATGTATATATATATATATGTTCCTTTTTGATTGCTAATTAATAAGAAAAACTGTGCTTTGTGTAACAACCCAAGAAAAAAACTGACACATCAGATATATAATTGCTCCATTCAGATACGGTAGTTGAGTATTTTTCTTTTAGGAAAACTACTCATCTTTTTTCTCTAACTATAAATGTGGAAGAACTTGTGACAACAACGCAACAACCCCTCTGCCATACCTTGCCTGATTGATAACACCAATATATGGAAGGTATAAATTGAAGATTCCACATTGACCTTCCCCATCTGACAATGCAGTATTACAGAATCAATTTTTCTGAACGAACCCCTTTAGGTTGCATGTGGATCATAATTGTTCCCACCTGCAAAACTCAATCTCCCGTGTAGAGATTAAAGATCGCATGAAAATCAAATTTTGCAAGTGAGCCTTTTAAGAGGCTTGCATGCGAAAATAAGTTTATCTTCACATGCGGGCCTCTTAAGTGGCCTGCATACGAAAATACTCCTCTCTCTTCCCATTCTTTTTTTCTCCTCTCCTCTCCTCTCTCTCCCAGTAAGTTCTCTCATCCACCTCACTACTTCACTCTCCCCACTACTCACAACCATCCCTCTCCTCTCCTCCACTCCACCTCTCCCCCATGCACCTCCCCCTCTCCTCGTAGGCTCGAGCGAGGCGGGCTAGGGCAATGGCGGCGGCAGCAACGGTGGCGGTCGACTATGAGAGGGATCCCACCCCCTTTAGTTCCCACCTGGATTCGGCTGCCGCTCTACCCCCCCCCCCCCCTCAAGCGGATCCGCTGGCAACGGCAATGGGAGGGACGAATCTAGGGCCCCTCCAACTCCCGCGTGGATTCCAGCATTCTGCCACCTCTCTGGCCCCTACGCGTGTGGATCTGCCAGTGGCAGCGACGCCAGGGCGGATCCGGCGCCCCCTCCCCCTCCCGCATGGATCTCGCCGCCACTACTCCACCCTGCCTCACGCGAGGATCCGTCGATTACTTCGAGCGACGAGGATAAGTACGATGACAACGACAACGGCGAGGGGCGGCGAATCTGGTGGCACCAGCCCTCGTTGACTGTTGTTGCGTCGAGGATGATGACGACGCCTTGGAAGCTAGGGTTTCTGCTGGCGGTAGGCTAGGGTTTCGACTGATTTTTTTTTGTTTTGGAATCTTATTTTTGTTTCACCAAAATTATTTTTTCGTGTGGTCGCTATAAGTGACCTCATGCGAAAATCGTCTCTACCCACATGCAAAACTATGATTTTTCACAGACACCGGGCCACCCACTCGCCTAAAAAATCGATTTTGGCTGCATTGAAAAATAGAATCTGTAGTGGTGATGCACTCACATATATCACTTTATCTCACTCTCCAATCTCAGTATATATATTCATAAATATAATAATAGGATTGTTTTCCTGAACAAATTGTCTCCTTGTGTGGTTGATTGTGGTTAATTAAGTATATCTTCTCGTCAACTTGATTGGGTTGAACTTTTGCTTTTGGTTTATCTAAGAACTTTGTAATAAGAGTGGCTATATCTTCATTTGAAGTAAACGTCGGATTATCCATTATCTAAATAATATACTCATATAACAAATTAAGGTGTGATAACGACAAGAAATTCATACATTTTTGCATGCTTGAAGTTTAGAACGGTCATGAAAATCTTCGTCAATTTTGGATGAAGAATGTATCTCCTTTTTGGTTGACACTACTACAATACCCATTTTTCCATGCGGGTGTTTGGATTATCCCGTGCGGGGGTCCGGCCCGTTTGCAGCCGGTCGTCTGGAAAAATCGCCATTTTTGCGTGCGGGCGGGCTGACCGCACGGGATAATCGATTATCCCGTGCGGTCATGTTATACCAACCGCACGGAATAATAAAAAAGGGAAAAGAATCAAAATCCACCCACGAACCCTAATAAAAAATCAACATCGTCAACGTCATCGCCGCCTTCCCGAAGCCTGCCGTCATCGTCGCCGCCTTCCCGAAGCCCGTCGCCGTCGTCCCCGCGGTGGCAGGCCACGGATCCGGCCTCCCCGCGGTGGTCTGCCACGGATACGCTCTGCCACCGCCTTAGCCGATGCAGCCGCCGCCGCCTTAGCCATAGCTGTCGCCGAGGATGAGAGGGAGAGGGAGAGGGCGATGGGAGGAGGGGGGAGCCGTAGCCGATGCCGTTGCCGTAGTGCCGCCGCTTCCGCCGCTCTAGCCGAGGGCGCCGCCGTCGCCGAGGACAATAGGGAGAGGGAGAGGGCGATGGGAGGGGGGAGGAGCCGTAGTCGATGCCGCCGCCTCCGCCACCCTAGCCGAGGGCACCGCCGTCGCCGAGGACGAGAGGGAGAGCGCGATGGGAGGAGGGGAGGAGGAGAGGGAGAAGTGTGGGAGGGATGAGGATAAGTGTGGGTCTGTGGGAGGAGCCGGGTGGAGGGAGCCACTTTATTTTTGTGGGGTGGGCTATTTTCGTGTGCATGTCACTTAGCAGACCTGCACATATTATTTTTGCGTGTGGGTCTGTTAAGTGGCCCGTACACGAAAATTGATTTTCCTGTGCGGGTGATAAACTGGTGTCGGTCCCTCTATTTTTCCGTGTAATTTCACTTATGGGGGGCGTTCAAGAAAATCAATCATGTAGTAGTGTGATGTGGTCCAGGAAAGTGTCTCTTTGTCATCTTTCATTAGTATGCACATTTGAATTTAGTGTACTAATTCGAAACGTGTTAGGGGGAGCGGGGCAAAGATTTTAAATTTCACTACATATATATGCACTCTGAAATGATATCTATTCAAGGACGCGGCAAGTATCTCTAATATACGAATTTTAAGGATTCAATGGATAGAATTTTACCAGCACTAGTGACAGGTACAACTCCCAATACAAAATGATTTGTCTGCCTAAAGAAGTACTCTCCGTAAAAAAAAATCAAATCCTAACTAAAAATCTGGACACACATAACTGGGATTTGTGAATTTTAAGGATTCAATGGATAGAATTTTACCAGCACTAGTGACAGGTACAACTCCCAATACAAAATGATTTGTCTAGTTAAAGAAGTACTCTCCGTAAAAAAAAAATCCTAGCTAGAAATCTGGACACACATAGCTAGGATTTGGTTTTTTACATACTAGTATGAAAGAAAACACTTCGATTTGCAATATTATACCTTTTTTTAGAATTACACAGTACAATACAGAAACTCACAACGCACGCGCACTCACCCCTATGAACATCTTCGAAGACTCGCGCCTCGCCCTACCATTGAAAGCGCAACGCCATTAAAATCCTGAAAAATCATTGAAAGCGCAACGCCGTTAAATCCTGAAAAATTCGCTCCTATAGGGAGTCGAACCCAGGACCTCAGGTGCTACGGAACCTCCTGTAACTACTAGGCTACAGACCCTTTCATGATTTGCAATATTATATTGTATGTCCAAAGTAAACAAATTAGATTTACGTTCAAGGTATAGTATATCGATTACGAAGAGAGATTTGGTCATTTTATTGTAACAACCACGCCTCGTCCATATAATTAAGTAAACATGAGATAGCCTTCAAACCATAGGATACTAATTTGCTATAACTTTAGATAAGTATCACTTTATCTGAAAACTATAACCTTACGGTAAAACAAAAGAACAGTACCCATGTGCCCTGTCTGTATGTTATGAATTTTTTTAAAAGAAAAGGTTTTATCGTAATACAGTTTCCACGGTACAATGACATTTTTGTGTACACCAAACATAACACTCAATATGTAGAGCCTTCGTGGATGTGTATGTCCTGATTTATGCAACTGCATTAATCGATCGATCGACCGTACTTAGCACTTATTTCAAGCTGCATGCCCTAACCATGAGGAGTACTACATGACACCATGACCCCACAAGTTCTGTCGGACAATGGTCGGGGGAAGCCTTTACCGATAGATAATTAGACCTTGAATGTAATGACCTCTGCCGGCAGAGTTTCAGTTACAGAAATTGTGCCATGGTACAGTGGTGCTCAAAACTCCTTTCATCTCAAACAGAATCAAATTTCTAAAATGGATTTCAAGTTAAACACATATCACTTTCGAAGACAAATCAATATCAAATTAACCAGCTAGAAAATTCATCCTGTTTCCCAAACCATTGGTAACCGCATGGTTACCGCGCTTACTGAAAGGGTACGGTAAAAGAAAAACCACGGTAACCTCCTTATATTCAAATAAATTTTAAAAATAATTTAAAATTTTGATAAATTTTATACAGTTTGCCATAGTTATCGTAGTTACCATGTGTTAACAGCGGATTGGGAAAACCGGCCCCTTCCCCTTAAACACTATCGTGTATTTGTGTGCATGCATGTAGTTCAACCTAAGCTATCTTCATTCATCTATCTCAATGTTCTTTACAGGCACGATTATATCGTTTCACCTTTGTTAGATGTTATATTTAAAATGCTATGCTACTGCTAAGAATTGGTCATTCATTACAGTAGCTATGTTACTGCTAAAAATTGAAAAGAAAAGGGCTTAAATTGGAGCTGCTATACTAGCTCACCCCAAGAAGACAAACGTGGCCAAAGTGAAAGATAGGCCCAGCATTCCTTTCTTAAAGAGAGACAAAATCTAAGGAAAAATCAAAGAGAAAAAGGCAGGAGATTGAAGTGATAATTGACTCCAAGGCAGCAAACGGTTGAATTATACAAGCAGGCTTTTTCTCTTTAGCTGTCACTGCCACTTTCTTGCTAACTGAAGAAGGGAAATAAATGGAAATGACGTTGGTGGAGCCCTTTGTCTTCACAACAGACAACTCTACAAGAGTCCATCTTGACCATATTGCTGCCTGTTATTAGGTCTCTCCATATGGCTAAAGAATTTAAATTTTAGAAATTATTTATACTAAACACAATCGAGGTGCCAAGGTTAGATGGTTAAATACAAATTGAGGTTTTATATTTTTTAAAAAAACAATTTTGTGGTACGCATAAATTAGCTTGCATATCCAGAAAAATAAACGGCAAGCAGAATCACCAGAAACAGAAACAAAAATGAAGTTTTGTGTCTATATCTTCAGACATAACAAAATAAAACATCCAAAGTGCTGAGATAGTAACACCGGAGATAAACTTCAATGTCGTTTAAAAACCACACAAACATGACAATATCCTTTTCAGGATGCCATCCTCCATGCCACATGGAAACGAATGGCAACCTGGGCAGGTGCTTATTCTTCCAAGTTTGATTATTCAGAGCATTTCCAGAGCTTGCCGGCTGGCTCCAGGCTTCAGTTTCAGGGGGGCACAAGGACGACTAGCAAAAGAACATGGACTTTTTCACCTCTTCCTTAATCTCTGGAAGTACCCACTGGAACTTAGCAGCACCTGGATCTCCACCGGCGACGGGAACTTGGGTGAGGTAGAAACGAGCGCGGAATGCGAGCTTATGAGCGTAGTAAACAGGAGGTGCTGCAACAGCAAACAAGACAATGTTAAGACAGAACAGCATGACAAATTGAGATAGTTGTAGCAGTAGTAAAGGCCGGACTTTATCGACTATCTTAAAAAAAAAACTCTAGTTCCATTCATGCATTCCTAAATCCCTCTTCATGTTCTTTGGAAAGCCCAATAGTTCTATCATTTATTTAACTACCCTTGAGTTTGATAGAATTTCACTCGACTTATGACTGTACAAAAACTTCAAGTTCTTTGCAGCACAATGGACATTTAGGAGAAAAGAATCAAAAATGCAGACATTCATGGTTTTTTAGGAGAAAAGCTTATTTGAATACTCTTCTGTGATAAAACAGAGCTCATAGCTAAGAGAGAAGTGACTTACGAATAGACACCGAGCGAGTGCAGCTTGTATATCTGTCGAGTAAACAGCAAAAAAAAAGAAGTCATCATTCAACCGCGCGAGTGCAAAATGCAGACATCAGCAATCACGGCAAAGAAGAGCAGAGCACAATTACAAGTAGCACAGGTTGTTTGTGACAGACTGAAGCTGATCTGCGGTGAAGTTGTTGTCGTCGCGCAGCACATGGTAATGGCTAGGACGGCTTGTCCCCTGCAATTTTACAATTTAAACATCGTTAGGGCACCCTCTTGTATTAAGTAATTAGACTAGAGGACAGTTCACTCATTTGTACTCTGCAGCGTGCTATAGGCAATAGGCATCTTACTTTGATCCCGGCTTGGCTGCACAGGAAGAAATCAAACTCTCGAGGGTGACAGATCACTGTATCAACTACTGTGCCTGGAATTTATTTACAGAAGAAGAAAAACGAGTTAGGCAATTGACCAAACAGGGTAATTAAACAACGTTTACGGGAGAGGCCATCGATTTTCAACCTGGACGAACATTTCCAGTCCCATCCATGCCGCGTGGATCATTGTAATTGTTGGGGAACAGCCTTGTATGATGCCTCTTCTGCACCACTATGAAGGTAATTCGTGGCTTGCCAGCATACAGAGACTTCCAAGCCTGAAGAAACAGTGAATTACGATAACAAATATTTTTTAACCAGATGGTTAAAACGTTTTGCACTGTTCAGTCATCAAATTTTTTGAACGACTCGCACGAGACGGTGCGAAGTTCTATTGATAGAGCAGGAAAAAAATACAAGATTACAACCATGGAGAGTCGTAACCAGGAAAAGAAAAAAATTGCTTATACCTTTTCTATCTCCGGTATTTCGCTCTCTACAACTTGCTGGAACTGACCCTCGCTTACGCCGTCCCTGATGATGAAACAGGACAATTATCAGTGTCTCGGTATGATCAACAAAGGAGCACGTACAATTAAGAAAAAAAAACAAACATGGAGAATATGAACCTGTAGAAAATGAGCTGCTTCGGCTCCATCTTGGAGTCCCTTTTGAATGCATTGAGAAGTTCCCTGCAATTTTATATTTTAGAAATTAAAGAACTGCCAAATGGTGGCACACTGGCATGCAATTCTAGAATTTAGCTGAGCAGCATGAAGATCTCACCTAACAATGCTATCAAGATCTTGTATAATCTCCTTACGAGAAGCTTGCATACGAACAACAGAATTATACTTGGTCACCTCAGGCCAGTCTGCGGAAGCAACAACCTAAATGGAACCCCGTCAGATGAAAGCTGTTACAGTAATAGATGCAATTATATTTTCTGATAGAAAGAAATATATATATCTTACCGAAGCAATGGAAGGGGTACTTTCATCAAAGGACCCAGGATGGGTAACATCAGCACCAAATATAATAGTTGGGCTCTTTGAAACAACCGGTAAACTTGCTTCTACATTAAGAAATACCGAGTTCCTTCCTCCAGCCTGCAGACATGGTGAATATATATTACATCTTGAATCTTGTGGTTCAATAAGCTTTGCGAAACAAAGATTCTGGGAGGTGATCAAGTTTACCTTGGCATTGATCTTAAGAGCAACATTTGCGCAGTACTGAACATTCCTCTCCTTGTAGACTTGCTTCGCTCGACAACACTGTGACAATACACCGATTTCTGTTTCACAGATTCTTTTAACGTCACCTGTGGTTATAAGTGTCATCAGGCATGGCACAAGTGAGAATTTTCTTCAAGACAAGAAATATATATTTGCTATTCGAATTCTAATTTTGTTAAACTGGGCTTGCATATTCCTTTAAAAAAAGCAAAAAAAAAACATCAATTTAATCAGAGAGATTTTAAGAACTTTGTTGGGGCTAAAATTATAACAGAGTAGATGCATGGTAGAAGAAGATACTATATTGAATAGCCAATATAACTCTAACCTATAAAGAGACATTAATGAATAATATTATTCCACACATTAGAGCGAATTTGGATGCTAGTTACCATATAAGCTGGCATTATTTTTATCATCTGTCATTACAACAAGTAGGAGGTCAATCTTGTTATCCCTCGACCAGCTGCATGCTTCCTGATAGCGCATAGGAAGATCAGTTTTAACATTATGAGGATCAGCTTTCAATATTGGAAGGCTCACATTCGCAAAGTCCTGAAATCAAAGTAAAAAATTAGCTAAGAGTACATCAAATAAAATGATCAAAACAGCAAAAAGAGGATGATGAAAAGCTAAATTACCAGTCCAGTTATTTTGGACGTTCTGACCAATTGAAGGCAGAATGCTTCAACAACACGATTATCCAAACCCTCGCACAAGTTGACACATGCCCAGCTTTTAATTGTAGCACCGTTAACTACTTTCTGCGCATCAAAAGAATTGTTCAAACAGTGTGGAGAGAAGACAAGAATATAGAAGGGGGTAAATGGAATAGACAGAGTATACAACCTAAAAAGAAATCAGTTCCTAAAACTATTTGCGCAAACTTCAAAATATTGCACAGGGTTGGTAGACCAGGATCTTCCAACCAGTTTCTCTTTTTGGGAACAATCCACAAGAGCTCTACAGATTTTGTTTAAGCAAATAAGAAGTTTGAGGGAACCAAGACTCTGAACCAACTGTAGCTTGTCTGGCAACATATCAACACTCAACTATAGACAATAAACAGGTACTCCATCCATTTGTAAATAGTTGTCATCGAGACCACTCATCTCTTTTAGAAAAAAGAAAACTTATGCTATAGTAGTATTATCGAAGTGTATTGTATCTTAGACATATAGGCATGAAACTTCGGTAGTTCATCAGTTTAATAATTTAAGAGTTGTTAGGTGTCAAAATGGAACAGTAATAGTCATCAATACTTTTATTTGAAAACTAGAGAGATGAAGAACAATAACCCCATCACTAAAACTAACCATTTTCTGTGATATAGTAATAAATTTACAAAACATTATAGAAAAAGTTTAAGAAATGTTTCAGTTCAACATGATGTACCTTGTCTTTCATGTTCCACGCCCCATCCTCTGGCGTGCATACTCTCACCCTTCCAGAATCATGGTACTTCAGCTACAACATTACTCACAAATGTAAGGACAGAAGTACGGAAAAACTGAAAAACAAAAGGAGATACTGATGAGAAAAAAATAAGTAGGATTACCATTGGAGCTTTCAAAACTCTAGCCTTTAAAGTAGTAGGATAAGAGTCAACTTCTATGCCAAACTCATCTGCGCGTTCCGTACTGTTATACTGGTTGCTGCTAACAGTCTAAGAAAAAGGAAAGATGGGTTAGAGAGAAATAAAAAACGTATTTACCCACACAGTAAAAACCTGACAAAATATCACAGAAAATAAGCATAAGCAGGAACCTGACGAATGGAGCTCTCACGGTCACAAGGACGATCGTTGGTTATGTTAATCAGATTGGAAACCTGTGTCGGACTGAGCCGGTTCTTGTATCGTTGTCCAGGAACTATATTGCAAAGCTGAAATCCAAATCAAATTTCAACACAAAGAATTAGCATGTGTAAAGGCAGAGGATGTAGAAAAGAATCGAACATTTCAGTTAAATGTGAAGTATATGCACGAACCTCCATGGGCAGGTAATTCGGTCTCTCCTTGCTGCCAACTTGCAGGCATGGAAGATAACCAAAAGCTAACTTCAGATTGTATTTTTTGTTGAAATACTCCTTGACAGTCTTGATACCATCAGATGATGTGAACCTTAATAGTTTTGGGATCCAACAAAATAATTGGTAAGATTTAAGCTATGCAAGAGAATTCAAATAGCAACATTACACAGAAACTGTTAAGATCAGGGAGAAGGTAAGCTAGGCTCCTTACGTCTGAACATCTGCAGACTGCTCGGTGAAGCCAGCAATGCGGTACTTCTTGCGTAGATTTCCTCGGTGAGTGACTTCAACCTTAACACCCTTAAGGGTCCTCATCAACTGCAAATTCACGAAGCACGGAAAAACAAGTCAAGATCAACTCCACGCAAACAAATCATGGGGGAAAGCATTTGGATTACACACTTCATTCCCATAATTGTTCAAAAAATATCCCACAGTAATAGCATTAGTGATTCGACGTCCAATAGCTTTTTCTACAAAATTCAGCACCCGACCAGGTTCAATGAAAGCAGTCGAAGACATGTCTGCAAAAAAAAATGCCATCACCTAATCATTCTCATGAATTGCAGGTAAACTCGATCAAGTACAAGTTCAGAAACAAACTGAAACACAAATCTGACCTATGTTCAGAGAAAGGCCCTGCTGCGTGACCCGGCAACTCTGGTAGAACCCCTTCCACGCAAAGATGCCCTTGTCGAGTTCCCTCGATCCGAGCCCCGGTGAGAAGTAAGACCGACCAAACGCAACGTACCTGCACATTCAAAACGAAAACGATTACACGAATTCATCAATTCCCAGTTTACGAAATCCTCAAGAGATCTCAATCGAGGCAGCTGATCGAGTTCTTTCTACCCCATGTCGTTGCGCTCGGCGAGCACCATGTCGCGCAGCACGATGTCGAGCAGCTGCAGCGCCTGCGACGGGATGCCGGCGGGGCAGCCGGCCATGACCATCCGCAGGTCCTGCAGGCTGACCGGCGCGACGTGCCGGATGGCCACCTTGAACTTCCTGCTGCCGGACAGCTCCACCTCGAGCTCCCTGCTCCTGAACGGGAGCTCGCCGGCGGTGTAGAGGTTGGCGCGGCCGTCGTAGACGGGGAGGCGGCCGCCGAAGTCGGTGTGCCGCCGCTCCGTCACCAGCTTCGAGATGATCGTGCGGAACAAGCCCTTCAGCACCGGATCCGGCGCGATCGCCACCTGCAAAACAAACGGTGATGAGGTGATCGACGAGGAGATGGGAATGGAGATGCTGTGGACTGTAGTAGTGTGGATGCTTACGTCGTAGTGGTGGAAGTTGTCGTTCTTGAGGCCGACGAAGAAGTGGTTGACCTTCACGAGGCACTCCTCTCCGGCGGCGCCGAACCCAGGCCGCGCCGGGAACTGCGACGACGCGGCGCCGGGGGTGGTGGTGGTCAGCCCCTTGAACTGCGCCCGGAGCGCGGCAATGTCGATCTCGCGGGCGTATTGCGCGGCGAGGCGCGGCTCCGGAGCTTGGGGCAGATCGGGGGGCGGCTGCTGGTGGTAGCTCGAACCACCGCCGCCGCGTCCTCCTCTTCTTCCTCCGCCGCCGCGGCCGCCATCGTAGTCCCTGCCGCCGCGTCCACGGCCGTATCCAGCCTCGCCGTCCCCATGATAGCCGCCACCGCCACCGCCACCGCCACGGGCTCGGCCGTAGCTGCTACGACCCTCGTCATCCCCACGATAGCCGCCGCCGCCTCCACCGCCACCGCCACCGCCTCGGCCGTAGCCACGCTCACCGTCCCCGTGATAACCGCCACCGCCTCGTCCGTAGCCACCATCGCCGTCCCCGCGATAACCTCCACGGCCTCCGCCTCCCTCCATGCCCCGCTGGTACCCGCGGCCATCGCCGCCATCATCATAGTACCCACGCCCTTGGCCTCCTCCTCCTCCACCACCACCACCTCCTCCGCCATAGTACGGCGGCCCACCTCCACCACCACCACCGCCATAGCCCCCACCGCGGCCGCCAGGGTACGATCCGTCCTGACCGCGCCCACGACCACCCGAGTACGGCGCCCCGTCCCGGCCGCGCCCGCGGCCGCCGCCGCCGCCGCGTCCGTACCCGCCGGGCTGCTGCTGCTGCTGCTGGTGGCGCTGGTGCTGGCCTCCTCCTCGGCTCGCCATTCCGATCGACGGCCGCCGCTGCGGGAGACGAGAAGAAGAGGAATCAAACCCAACGCGAAGAGGAGACGACGACGACGACGACGACTACAGGAAGGGCTCTGCTTCTGGAAGGGTCCCACGCGACGCGGTTCGTGGACTTCGTGTGGGTCTTATTTATTTATACAGGAAAATTTTCTGGGATGGAAACGGGCGCGCGCGACGCGGGTCGTGGCCTTCGTGGAAATTTTTCTGGGATGGAAGCGGGCGCGCTTTCCTAAAGAGCGAAAAGACCTTCCAAGTTCCAAATAAGTTTCTTTCAAAAAAAAAAAGAAGAGGAAGAAAAGGCCTTCCAGTAATTTCCAAATCTAAAGACGTCATGTGTGCACGGTTGGCACGACTACGTCAACATCAAATTTATGTTGGTGTCTTTCTTCTTGTTCTTTCTCATCTTGGTTGAGGAACTAATTAATTAATTAACTAGGAAAAGAAAAATGAAGGGAAGGAAGTCAATATGTGAAGTCAAACCTCTTCGCCTTCCTGGATGTATGGCATGTTTGGTATATGGCAGCGCTTAGTTGGGGACTTGGGATTTATGTGGTCAGTTATATATTCCTAATAAATAGTTTTATGCATGTGTTTATTAGTGATTAAACTATGTGACATAGGGTGTACGAGACTATAGCGGAATGAAACGATGTTTGCATACATCATGACCCCCTAACACGACAACTCTAGTAAAGATCACTATTACGAGGAGTAAAAAGTTAGGCTCAACCCACAAAAGACCATCTCCCTACATTCCTAGTCTCCTCTATCTGTTATTCATGGTGTTTGTCTCTAATTTTGCACCATCCTTGTACCAAAACTATTGGTTGTGTCACCTTTTAACTTATTATAACTAGACAGTAAAATATTATTTTCTAATATAATGATAATTTAATTTGCGTAACTCCTTCGATCAATGGAGTACATGTTTGGTGTTGCTCCATCTGCCCTACACCTTAACTACAACATATGGTGAATTTATTACAACCTCACATATCCCACAATCTAATCCATCTAGCTCATTTGATAAATGAAGGAGTATATTTTAGGCTACTGTCATATATCAGGAGTCCTTTGTTTATAATTTTCTATAAATGAAGGGCCTTCAATTTTTGTTCGAGTGTATTTTGATCCATTTGATCATCCTTTGAGATTTGTAACCCTTCATAACCCAAGACCAATGTGAACCTACCGTTTTAGGCATGGATATTAGGCCCGGCCCAACAAGACCCCTCCATAACCTTAAAATCCCCACCCCTTCCTAATCTCTTCATCATCGCCTCCACCTCCACTGCCGCCGCCGCCACCACCGTGGCCGTCACCATATTTTTCAACAATTAATTTCCTCATCCCATATATCCATATTCTATTACCGCAAGTTTTCTCCTCCTAAATTACATTCACCTTTGCTACCACCATCACCACATATTATGATGGCCTCATCTACCATGCATGGCTGTCGTTGCCCTCCAAATTTCCAACATCTTTGGTTAAAACCGTTTGGTGCATCCTTGTTCAATCTAATACCGTGAAAATATAACTATCTCACATATCCCATAATCTCGTTCACCTAAGAGTCAAGCCAAGCTATCATTTCTACGACATAACCAACATACAAACAACCGTAACAATACATAGATCTATTCATCTCAATACAAACCATGTCCTTCCTCTCGAGTTTTACTTCCAAAAAAAAAGAGATAAATAGATCTATAAAAAAACCAATCGACACAAACAAACTATGTACCAAATTCAAGATTCCCAAATATATATTAGACGATTGAAAAACCACCATAGGAACCAACGAGGACTATGAAAAACAAGAGGAAAAAAAAGAACTTGTTTCCATCATACAAAACAAAAAAAACCCTAATCAGTCCAACCCTTCTAAAGTATAATCGAGAAAATCATATCAAACTAAACGAGAGGAATCCACTTCTGATGCAAAAATGCATCATCCAAGAACAACAACATGGATCCACATAAAAAGAACATGAAGAATCAAAAAATTAGGTAGGAAAAAGAAAGGGAACGATGGAAACATGGGGTTTGAGGTGAGCGTATTGTCACCTTGGCCTGAAGCCTAAGGGAGAGCGTGCGGTCGAACTGGTCAAAGAGCACCTCCGCTCCTGGCCTTGCAGGCGTTCTATCTGTCGCTAGCTCTGTGGCTTAGAGTTTTGCACCATGGAGTCCTAGACTAGGGTGGTATTTATAGCTGGGAGGGGAAGAATCAAGGGTCCTGAAGTGGTCCCCACTTACCTTTTTAAATGTTGGTCTTTATGGTGAGGTCATCCAAAACGTTTAGGTTTGTTCAATAGTGCCAGGATTAGAGATGGCAAAGAGTTGGGTTAGGCTCAGGTCAAACACGAATATATCTGTACTTGTGCCCGGCCCAAACCTGACACCTCTGATGGCACAACATAGAACTACGCTTGTGCCCGTCAAGCTCCTAGAAACCGATGGGTACCGGCCACATATTTGACATAATACATTTATCAAACTCAAATGATCTTAAGATATTCATCTATGCATCCATGGCCCGACGTGGCGACGTCCATGGCCCATCTGCGCCGCTGCAATGGCCGTCGCTGTGGGAGGGAGACTACAAATGGGACCAAGTAGGGAGGGAGGGGGATTAGGAGGGGCTCCAGCTAGGGTTCCAATCACAATAGCATATATATGGACATATGGCTACTATCATGGATCAAATAGGGCAAGATGTAAGAATGGGCTAAAATCCCTCGGGTACTCGTATGCAGAAAATAAATCCAACTGTGCCTGCTAGCGCTAGGACATCGGGCCTCAGGTCAGGCGTGTCCACAATCACAAAAACAAACTAATGTCAAAGTGACAGAAACCTGATGGTGGCAAAAACAAGATAAAGACGTTTGTACCATACCATTGTGTATAACTTGATTTCATCGATAACATTTCGTAAAACCGGACACTTGTCGATAGCAAAATGTAGAGCCTCTTAGATTTTTATTTGTTATTAATCGTAAAGCATGCTATTAAATAACTTCTCTCTTTTTAGATGAAAATTAAATAATTTCTAAAATACATAAGTTTTTGTTTGTATGTGCAATATCCAAAGTTCACTTCAAAAAATAAACTCCCAATTACATACAGTATTGTGTTTTAAAAAGCTTGCAACATCATAAAAATAACTGTTTAAGCAGTGAAAGAAAACAAAATAAGCACGCCATAAAAACACTTTGAATGAGGTAATTGACAAGATCATATGCATGCCTGATAATCAATTATCAGTATCTCAGCGGCATTCCACAGAAGGCATTCCACAGAACGCTTGTTATGCTTAAACTATGCAACCCCAAAAAGTGTGATGCATGGAACTATGAAAGCACCTCGCCCTGCTATCGAGTGTTGACAATTTGACATGCTGTTAAGCAAAAATGTATCAAGAACTTCTGCATTAAAAAAACATAATTAGCTTGAATCTTTGAGCTATTGTTGATTTTTGTTGTATCAAGAACTTCTGCATTCTAAAGAACATAGTTAGCTTGAATCTTTGAGCTATTGTTGATTTTGTTGCAACGAAAGCTCGTGAACTAAACTTTTACAGTGCACAATACACTTGGTTAGGGTTCTTTTGTAGTTGCATCTCCACTGGACAGCTAATCCCCATCTTTCCAGGGATCGTAGAAGACGAACTGGGAGTTTACTGTGTATAGAACAATCCAGCTTGAAGCCATGAAATCTGAAGAATGGAGCAAATTCTTGCTCAAAGATTGACCGGTTCATTTCTGTTATGCAGCTAGTGCTGTTCTGTAGCTTGCATAAAAGGACGAGCAAATTATCATCAAATTCTATAGTCGTAGGTAATTGCTGCAAAGTTTCCTTGCACTTCTTGACCAACCATTTCAGAATCTCCAGCTCATTTTCAACAGATAACAATGATCCAGAGTAGATCTGATGACTTAAGGCTTTCCGACGATTTCTGGGAGTTGTCCAAAGCCTTAATGCACACAGCAATGCAAATGAGGGATGTCCATTTGGCAGAATATACAAGGAATCTCTTGGCCAAGAACCGATCATGCATAAATCCAAATCTAATGGAATGTAGATTTTCTCATTAGGGTTCTCACCCAAAAGAAAACCATAATGCTCAAGAAGTTCCAAGTTTGTATACGTTCCATAAGCCAGAAGTACCTGTACGAAAGGACAAAGTTTAATTCAAAAGTACAGAACAACAAGAAGGCAGATAATGTGATACGGGAGAACATGAGCATCCTATAGACAAAAAAGGGCATATATTTTAGGCAAATATCAGAAGAAACCTGCTCTCCTTTTCTATATCTTTTCCGAGCATACAGACGGTATTCATTAACATCTTCATATCCCCCATCTGTCAACTTCTCAGATGAATCAAAATCTGTCTGGTCCAACATCTTATTTGTCTCCTGATGCATCATATCATCTCTATCTTCATCCGTTGATGAATTGTCATCATTAGGAGCAGCATAATTGAACAAATCACCAATAGGACATAGACAACCAGCATCATCCCATGCTATATGCAATGTTCTTGAAGATACCTTCAAGTTGTCAAAAGAAACTTCAGAAACCTCATACCTTTCCACCATGAAAATATAGAACAGAAATTAAGACTAACAAACTTATAAAATTCTTGAGTCAGCAGAGATTCATTGTAGTGGCTACAAAGCTAGCATGTCAAATATGAAAGAGAAAGGCTATCCCCGTGCAAGGAATATATAAATGTAACGTTACAAAACTCAGAGCCATGTTAAAAAACAAAAGGTAAGGTGAGTTCCATTACTTTCATTCTATGCAGTAACTAAACTAGACGACAAACTCCCTTACAAAAAACTAGACAGCAAAGCTGGTATGTCAAACAACAAAGAGAACTGGTATAAACTGAGCTAAAATTCAAAAAACTATACCGTTGCAAAAGCCCAGATCCATGATTTAAACATCAAAAGCTTAGGTTTAAATCCCAACCCTTTCATCAGTGGTGTTGCTTCTTCCCAGTCTGATCTTATTCCACGAAGAGCCTTTTGAGCAACCCAAATAGCCTCATCAACCTGAAAAGAAGTAAGCTGAATGTAACATGAAGCAATCGAAATGGAAAACTAAAATTTTGTAGACAGAACTACCGAGTTGTACTTGGAGAGCTTCAGTTTCAAAATCATTGAAGGTAGCCAAGATAGTGTAGTAGGAGGGCAGCTGAGACAAATATAGATACCAATTTGAACTCTTCCCTTTTCCCACTTCAGACAACAAACATATGATCAGGGTCTGCTCAGATACAAAGGGAATATCAGTGAAAGCATTGAAGCAATTGAAAAGATGTGATAAGGAGACCAAGCATGAAAGTTTCTTTCATTGCCCTTACAAGATCAAAAGGGGCATAGAAAGGCCAAGATTGAGTTGACACTTTCGAAGTCAAATAAAAAATAGAATCATCAAGACATCACGATAGAGTTATTTGTGTCGAAGATTTTCATTTTCATTTTATCTAGTAAATTACTAGTATGTGTTAGTGTGATCTTTTTACCCTCCCCAAAATTGCCAAATCCATCCAATCTTTTTGTCCAAACTGAAACATAATAGTGAAACCAATTCAACATATGTAGAGCCAATCTAATGGATTAGAGCAAGTTCAATAGTTTAGCCAACTACTAACTCCAACTCATCTATAGCCAATCTAATAGCTCATTTATACAATAGTTACATGCTACACTATTAATACCTAGCCCCAACTGTCATAGACACACTGCGTCTTGGAGTCCGTGCTACAGCTGGCTACAAATCTGTAGCCCGCTGCTCTTCTCTCTCCTGATTTATCTCCTTAAAATATGTTTGCAGCTGGCTTATAGCCTGCTATTGTACCTGCTCTTAGCACACCAACTGTCTGCAGCATTTGGTTCCTGCAACTGCGGTGCGCTTAAGGCCAGACTTGTTTCTGGTCTTCTCAAAGCCAAGGCCGTGCCTCTTCGCACAAATTTATTTCACAAGATTTATTGTGAGAAGCATATGGTTATTCCAACTCCAGTATTCATGATGCCTTTATCGTGCCGGCACATTTTGCGAATTCTCCGGTGCATCCAAAGATTTAATATGGTATTAACCTACCACCACCATGAGCAACGCACTCCACTGTTGCGGAAACAACGAGAGCAATGCACTCCAAATCGAAACCATCCAACAACTCAAGTCAATTCGAAGACAGCCTGACATAGGCATATGAAATTACCTGGACGGAGGAGAGGCGGGGGAGGTGGCTGGCGACGGAGGAGGCGATCCTGGGGTCATCGTCCATGACGCGGCCGCTGGTGAGCAGGGCGGCGCGCGGCGCCCGCAGCACCAGCTCGCCGCGCCGGAGGTCCCGCGCCGCCGCCAAGCCCCTCCTGAGGTGGGAAACCAAACGGCGCGAGGAAGCGCAAAAGGCGGTGAACACAGGCAGATTAGGGTTTGGGTGGAGAGGGAGAGGGAGGGGTTTTTACCCGCCGGCGTCGGGGAAGTCGGCGATGAGGACGGAGCGGCCGAGGCAGGAGGAGGGGGAGGGCGCGGACGGGGAGTCGGAGACGCCCAGCTCCGCCGCCCACCGGAGGAGGGCCTCCATTTGCGGCGGCGGCGGCGGAGGAAACACCAGCCCGCTAGCTGGGGGCGGAGGTTTTACGGTAATCTGAATTATTTGGCTGTGTAAAGCCCACTAGTCACTACTACTAATTGTCCAAGCTGAATTATTTTGTTGTTGGCTCTACTCTGCTACTGTAATTTCCACCTTGAATTTTTTTTGATAACTCTAATATGTGTTATATATGAAGTACTCTACAGTTATAAATATTCGATATTTGGATAAGATTTAGTTAAACTTTGAAAATTCTGATTATCATTAGTAGTTTCGAAACCAAACATAGCTGTACAACCATAGCAACTAGTACAGCAAGTATTTTGTATGGGTTATGCCACTATAATTTTTACGGTTTTGAAATATATCATTACTATTCAGCTATTTGAATTTATACCATTATAATTTCACACTTATTTGTTACTAGCAAAAATGTTTGTGCATTGTAACGGGTAAAAAAATTCTAATGATAATATATGTTTTTCATGCATAATCATGTCAATGACAATGTTTCTATTTTAATAAGCGGCTTGTTTTTTATAAACAGTGTATTTTTTTCCTTGCGCGATTTTCTCAAACCATTTTTCAGAAATGGCGCATTTCTTTCTAAAAGTTTTTTCCTAGCATGTTTTTTTCTTTTTTTTACTGATGAAGAAAACTATATTTTTCTCCTTTTTTTGCTTTTCTTTTCTCGTGTGTTTTTTTGCCTGTTTTCTTGCATGTTGTTTTTGCTTGTTTTTTTCGAATGCTTTTTTTCTCTTTTTTCCAATACAAGAGAATATATGACGAAATAAAGCCATATAGTAGTTGGCAAAAAATCAATGATCCTATTCGATTCAAGCGTCCATCAATTTATCTTTTTTCTGACAATTTTTTTAAAGCAATTTGTTTTTAGTAGACGGTGTTATTTTTCTTGTGCGGTTTTTTAAAACCATTTTTTTAGAAATGACGCGTTATTTCAGACAGGTTTTTCCTCGCATGTTTTTTTAAAAAATATTTTACCGACGATAGAAATAATTTTTCTCGCGCATTTTTTATTTTTTTTATTAAAGATGGAAAACATTTTTAGCATGTTTTTTTGGTGTTTTTTTCTGACTTTTGCCTCACACATTTTTTTTGAACCGTTTTATTTTCTCGTACATTTTCTCTTTTAAAATAGTTAGATTAGATTAGAGATAGAGAAGAGATATATACTGGTTAGAAATTGGATTTTGTTTCACCATTTTTTTAGGGAATCGGCCGAACTCTTTTAGATATTTTTTTAGAATTTTTTTGGCCTTTATAGGAATCAGACTTTTTTTCCGTTTATAAAGGAATCGGATCTAGCATTTTTTTTACCACTTTTTTTTTGCCTTTTATATAAATCAGATTTTTTTTCCGTTCGGATCTACAGTATTTTTCGCCACTTAGGGGAAAAAGACTTTTGTTGTTGTTGTTGTTTTTCTTTATTTTCTTTTTTGTGCAGCTTTTATTTTTCTTTTAATGCACCTTTCTGCCTTTGTTCTCTCTCTTTTATTATTTTTTTAACAAAAACGACCTCAAGTATCTTATTGCAAGATTATAGGGACTTAAATGTAAATATAAAAATTACAGGGACTTAAATGCAAAAGTACAAACTAAAAATAAAAATTATATAAAAATGGAATGCTCTCGACACGTATGTTCCGTTTTTGCAAAAAGATCTTCAATCCGGCACATCAATTTTTTTCACCAATGCAGAGTTTGGAATCGGACATATTTTTTTCACCCTCTTTTTACCGCATTGACAGAGTCGGATTCGTTTTTCTTTTCACTTATTTTCGCCCTTTTTTTTTGGATCGAACCGATTCGGTTTTCTTTTCTTTTTTCAGTTTTTTTTTCACCCGTTTTTTTTGATCGGACATTTTTTAACGACTGGTTTTTATTGACGTTTGGTTTTTCTTTTCTTTTTCCGGTTTTTTTGGCCCGGTTTTTTTGGATCAGATAGATTCGGTTTTTTCGCCCGGTTTTTTTAACGGACAATGGAAGCACTTTTATTTTTTAAGTAGTAGAGATATGCCACTAGCTACCTCTTCAAAATATTTGCAAAAATTTTAGGACCAAACTATCCCTTATCTTCTTCCTCGTTCTCTTCTTCTTTCTCTCCCATGTTCTATCTTCTCTCTCCTTCGTCCCTTCTTCTCTCGAAGCAGCAGGTGCTCTCGTACTTGTGCAAGGCGGCTGCGAGTCGCACAAGGCATGACCGCCAGCGATATTTGCTCACATGCACGCATGCTTGATCTTCGTCGGGCCAAAGGTGGAGTGGGTGGTCCTTGTTTCCTTTTTCTTTAGTACAAATTCTAGAGAAACAAAAACGAGAAAAAAATAAACAGGGAAGTTGTTGATGATGGCTCGATGTCGTTGCTGGACCTTCCTTTGGGTGCGAGAGTACATGAGTGGCCTTGCTTAGGTTCAAGCGAAAATGGGTGAGTAGATGAGGAGGAGAAAGATAAGCTGCCAGTATCAGATCCAAATCCAAAAAGAAAGAAAGGAGAGGAAGAAGATGGACAGTAGAAAAAGAAAAGGGTAATTTGGTCTAAAATGTTTATTGGATGCATCAGATGGGTATGTAGTGGCATATTTTAAATAGCTAAAAATTATAATGGTATGGTTCTAAATATGTGAATAGTAATGGCATATTTCCAAACCAAATAATTTGTAATGGTATGGATCTATTTAACCCATTATTATATGGATCTGACTCGTTATAAGGCACAAACATAACATTCTCTGTAAAAACGGAGTCGTACTTCTTTCCTCCCATAACGTATATCCAGGGGTAGATCTAACTTTGAATTTGGAGGGTTTGCTCTGATTCTCTTCGGTCTTCTTCCTCCCCTTTCTTTTCTTATTCTCTATGGTGATCTAGCAAGATAGAGGGACTTGGGATCGAGATCCTCTGACTTTAAGTCACTTAAGGCTGTGTTCGCTTAGGATGGTTGGGAACCAAACTCCTCCGCACGGAAAACGGAGCAATCTATTAGCACGTGATTAATTAAGTATTAGCTCATTTTTTTTTCAAAAATGGAACAATATAATTTTTTTAAACAACTTTCGTATAGAAACTTTTTGCAAAAAAACACACCAAAATAGTAGTTTGAAAAGCGTGCACGCGAAAAATGAGAAGGGAGTTGGGAACCATGGGAAACGAACTGAGCTTAAGATATGGACTTTCTTTGCTATGGATCCATGTACATGTCAGTGACTTTAAAGTTACTTGACTTAAAATAGAGGATCTCAGTCCGAAGACTTAGCCCCAGCTCAAATAGAAACGATTAGTTAAAGAAAAAATATTAATGGAGAAAAATAGAAAGAAAAAATATTGATGGAGAAAAATAGAAAAAAAAGAAACGGTTAGTTCAGAAAGATCATGTGCTTTTAGGATATATGACAAATTTACGACTAACCCACTCCCAATAGTGTTGGCCGTGCAATGCATGGCATATTTAGTTATTTACTGGTCCAAATAAAAAGAGAGTTAAACGCTCATACACAACCAGTGCAACAAAACGAGAAAAAAAAAAGGATTGCAACACTTAAAAAAACGGATGTGCTAAGAAATCGTTGACAGTTTTTTTTCACCAAAACTTTCAAGTTGTAGACTATCGGATGCATTGAGATTTGTGAAAAAAGGGTGAAAAAAAATATTTCACGTCACACGCACAAGGCAGGTACAAAACCCATGAACATCTTCGGCGCAAGCATGCTATACTAGCCTACTACCTAGATGTAATTTTTAGTTGTGCATACTAGTTGCATGCACATAATTTGCAATGTAATTATAATGTTATTACATTCTAAGCATACTATACTTATATTTTGAAAGTTTTTTTTTCAAAACCTGTCAAATTTTTATATAGCTACTAGAAAAATGATATCTATTATTTAAATTATTTTTATTAAGTTTAATATGATAACTTCCTTCCCAGCTTAATACAAGTATCCCTCCGGTTGATATAAGTACTAAAATCCAGTCCATTAATTTCATAATTTATTTATTATATCTAAAAGGTTGGAGATATTGAGCTCGTTTGTTTGAGCCACTTTTCAATCAATCGTGGTTGTGGCTTGCTACAGTAAAGTACAAAGCGAAAGCCAATACAAAATGGGTTAATTAGATCATACCATTACAAATTATTCGGTTTGGAAATATACTTTTACTATTCACATATTTCCAAACCGTATAATTTAAGATTGGTTAGGGGGGATAAATCAAAATTAAAATAATGATACTGTCGCGACCGAGAAAATTTGCACTTTCCCGAACGCTAGTGTATTAATCCCCGTCCTAGGAAAAGCCGGGGTACACCATACAAACATGATATAAAAGACACATCTTTATTATATCGATAATATTTACATTATTACAAAGGCACTTAAGGCCTGACAATCAAAAATAAACAGCAGCAGACTAGCGGGCCTACGGTTCCATCTTCACACGCGCTTGTCACGCCCAGAAATTCCCGAATAGAATTCCAAGCAGGATGTGCATTAAAATCCCCGTCCAGGACCGGCCGGGGTACACAAACGATAATGTTGACATTCAGATCCACGTCTTACAAACATCATAAAAGTCTTATATAAATGCAGCGGAAGAAAAGAAAGACAACAGGAGCTAAGCCTTGACTAGAACTGCAGCGGGAACACCACTCAACAGGCATCCTCGACGGCACGGACGAAGCCTACTCCTCAGAGACACCTCCATCTGACACATACTCGTACTCTGGGGTTGGGAAAAATAGAGCAAGACTGAGTACTATCCACTGTACTCAGCAAGTCATACCGGAATAGGGGTATGATGCAGGGAATTATCACAGAAGAGCTAGAGTGGTTCATTTGCATAAAGCGAGCACTTATAAACAGAAGTTGAAAGATTTAAACAGTTGTAATAATTAATTAATATTAACTATCCACTGTCCAACGCTATTCCACGTTGCAACAGGCCCAACCATCCACCTAAACTATCCAAATTCAAAAGATTACACTAGGGTGAAACTAATCACGGTGAATCTGGTTGACCGCCCATAACCGCGGGCATGGCTATTCGAATAGTTTTACTCTGATCAGAG